TAATGCTTTGACTGCTATACTTAGCTCTTTAGAGATTGATATTGGTAAAGTTAAGTTGACCAAAGTGACTAAATTGGTATCTTCAGGCAGATCTGGAATATATATAGTTAAAGTTGCAATAAGCTTGTAATAATAGTGATGGGATATTGTAGATTTGTGGAACACATTTGATGAAAGTGTTTACTTCTTCTGTGCTCTGTAATGGAAATGTAAAGTTAGATATTTTTAAGTTTGTTAGATCTATGGGTAGTCATCTTCGAGAAATGATATAGTCGTTAGGCAGTCTAGTAAAGGAATAGTCCATATGTAGTAATCTGATGTGTTCCTTAAAATCATCTTGACTTTTAGGTAAGAAGGTAAATTTCTCTCTTAATCTGGGTGTCAAGTCTTGTGGAGTAAAGGGCAAAGGGCCTTTTGGTGCTAGTAAATCAAAGTATTCAGCTGGGATTTGCTGAAAAATATAGTATTTTTGTAAGATTTTTCTATAGTAAGCTAGCTTTTTCAGTTTAGCTCTGTTCACAATAGAGAAGAGATGTTGTACTTCATCTCTTAAATCTTTATATGAAGCTGGTAGATTTTCACAATTGTCTGCGATATATATGTCTGGTAACTTGTCGAAGGAAAATATTAAGCACAGTGTTCTAACTGCTAGTATTAGAACCTGATGGCTTGTGATAGGTAGATCAAAGGGAATAGCGTGAAATAGATGGTCTGAGATGAGCTCTGATGTATCAGGCAGAGAAATTAGTAGTTCATTTATTAGTTCTGAGATTGCTTTTCTTGTTGTTTCAAAGTCTAGATTCTGTTGAATTTTTGCAAAACCAATTAAGTAGAAAATATATTTTGTGATTTCCCATGCATCTAAAAGATTGAAGTTTAGGTTGGTTAGGTAGTCTAGTACCAGCTTAGTATGCAATAATTCAAAAATTTGGTCCCAGTTTTTTTTGTTAGTAGCTAATATGTCATGCTGTTTTTTATATGTATATAGGGCATCATTAAATAAGTTGTTGAATTCATTCTGATGTTGTGGTCTAATTGCTAAAATTCTAGTAAAGCTTCTAAAGAAGACTGTGTCTCTATGAAAGAATTTTGCTTTTATCACTGTTGGAATATGAATAGTAGTTGGTTTTGTTGACAACTTATATCTGACCAGTTTTTTTAAGTTTTAAAGTAAGGTTAGTGCATTTTTGGTTTTTTGTCGTATCCAAATTGTTGCATCAAATGATTCTAGTTTTTCTTGTCTGATTTTTTCTAAAGCTGTCTGCATATGTTTTTTTCATTCTTTTTCTTTGTCTGCTTTAAAATGAGGGTTTGGGGTTCTTCTAGTTCTCTTTGGAAGGTTATTAACTAGTTCTTGGCTGTATGAAATTTTATTTTATGGCTGTTCTTCGAGTATTGTATCAGTTGATCAAGTTTCTTCATTGTCATCATTCTCTATATTTGTTGATGTATGCTCTATTTCCATATTGGGTTGTTGTTCTGGGGTGCTGGCATCCAAGTTGGGCTGGAGCATTGCATTAGATAAGGCTGAGTTGTTTGTTGTTTCCATCTGCATTGGTGAAAGGGGAGCAGCATCTATATTGTCTGGGTTCTGGATCGGGTCTTGCTCAGTTTGGTTGTTCGTGAGAAGATTTGAGATTATGGTTGTTGTTGTTGTGTGTGATGATGTCATTGTCAGATTTTTTGGGGGTATGCTAGAATTTCCATTTTTTTTGATAATTTTTTTTTCGTTAGTATTTTTTTTATTACTTGCTTGTATAGGAATAGCAATTTTGCTATTGGTTTTACTCTTCTTCTTATTATTTGGTTATCCATAGTTTCTTGAATGAATCGTATTTGTGTATACTATTTAAAGTATTTGTCTTGTGACTTATTTTTATCTTTATTAGTGTTGGTTTCAGTTGTTGACTTAGTCAGCAACAATGGTAAAAAGGAGACTGAAGCGCAAAAAGCTTTCTTGTAACTTCATTTAATTCTGTTAAAGTTGTGCTATACCGTTTGTTAATGCTAATACTTAGTTAGTTAGTTAAAATATGTTTTAGTTTCGCTTTTTCCAAAAAGTTTTTTGTTTTCCCAATTTTGCTATGAAATCAGGATTTTCAGGAAAGAGTTTTCATTATTTTATTAGTTCTTATTACTGCTTCTAAAAATAGTATTATAAATATATATATAGATTCACAATCCGTAATTTCTAAATATTAAAATATTTTAAACTTTTTTATATTTTATTATATATATATACCTTTTTTTATTATGAAACTCACTTATTAACTTTGTTAAATCTTATAAAATTCACATCATTTTTTGTAAAACTACTGCTTGCCAAGACAATACATACAATAATCTTGCTAATTAACTAATACAAAATCATTATATCTTATTATATTTAACTTTTATATCTTACAATATTTACAATTTATTCTATACTTTAATTCTTGAAAATTTTCTCTTAAAATTACCTACTTATTGTAGCATTTGTATAATCTTTATGCATATATTTATATTATTCAAATTACACAAAATTAGTTTCAAAAATAAAACAAGATTTATAATCAATTAATTGACAAACCACCTGACTATATATTAATAATAATTAAAAATCTCAAACTATTAACATAACTTTTAATTTTCTCCTTTTAAATTTTTTAGAATTAAAATTTTATTAGATAACCTTTGTCATCAATGCCATCAAGCTAGTTCTCATCTTCATTGAATAACTTGTCCATCTGATCAGTTGCTATACAACCTTATTAATCATTCACTACAACACATTCTAAATACAAATACACTTGATACTACTATTAAATCATAATCAAACTACACTATCAAATTAAACAACTGCATTGTATAACTACACACAATACAGTAAACCTGCTCTCAGTTTTTTTAATTTTATCAGGCTAGTGCCAAATGAAATTATCTCTATTGTCTCAAACCTATCATCTAAAAAAATAACTAGAATACTTGTTATTAAATTTTTACTTCATCTTAATCACTGTACAATTCAAGTTTTCTTTTAATATTTTAAAGAGTAATCATGAAGGAATTATTAATATAAACTTTAATCTAAGAATCTTGTTGATTCTATTTAAATATTTAAATTAAATAGCTACTGTATAAATTAGATATTAAACAATTATTAATCCAATGATGCTATTTATTAGATACTACGAAACTAATAGGAAAATATTATTATTGCTTTTAAAAAAAAGAAAGACCCCGTGAGTAATCTTTAAATTGATATCAAATGTTACGATCATTTCAATTGTTTAATGTACATGAAAATGTAAGTTGTTGCGGCATATGTGAGTCAAGGCCCTGCTGAAGTATCATCATATTTCAAGTCATGGCTATTGGGTCGTAAAATAACTGATCATGTTCCTGCAACTATAGTAACCTCCTTCTGCATTATGCTATACAAATTTTATTCATTGCTATACCTAATTTTCCTCCGGGGCACAAAATTTCCGGGTGATGTTATCTGCATTTTTTTCGGTAAACGAAATTTAGAAACTCCTGCAATATATTTATTTCCGGCCGCTTTAAAATTACGCCGGAGGTCAACTTAACTAAACAGAACCTCCGGCATTTTACAATAGAATTTTGTACCCTGTATTCCCCTGTCATTTAATCTTTGGCTTCGTGCTTGATTTCAAAATAATAAGAGATGTAATACCAACTAAAATCTGAACAAATTTGAATTTTAATGTTATTAAACAAAAAAGAAAAGAAAATTAAGAATAATTATAATTTATGCCGGGAGATAATCAACCCCGGATACTATATCTAAAAAATCTACTAGGTAATTTACGTCAAGAGTACTAAGTAATAATGTTTAGATCCTCCCCTAAAACTTTATACTAACTAAAATTGGAATCTTTATATCTGATTCTCATCCTAGTCCATAAACTATAACCCTAAATTTTGCATTATACGCGTAATAATAGAGGTGATATACAGTAAATATTATTTTTTAAAAATTAATTTTATCAATTATTAATAATAGTGCTTGTTAGACATATTTGGTTTAGACATAGAATAATTAGATGTAGGTGTTTCTGGTGAATATGTTGTAGGACTATGGGCTACAGGCACAAATGTCGTTGACATGGATGAACTAGGCACGTGTTCCTGATAAAGTTGTTTCAGATAGAGGCGTTACAGGAATTGAACCATGGGTGGTAGGAATTGTTGGTAAAGGTTTAAATCTAGGCGTAAATGAACCAGTTGTATTAGGTAATTCTCGTAAGGATACATCAGATGTAGGTGCTGCAGGAGTAAAGGTTTTGGGAATAAAATAACCAGAAGTAGGTGTTCCCATTAAAGGCGTTGATGCTACAGAAGATGTTACATGCATAGGTTCATCATGTACAAATGATTTTACAGATTTTTTATGCTTTCTTTTATAAAACCAAGCACCAGCACAAAATGAAATTACAATTAGAGCAACAACACCAAGGCTAATACCAATTCCTTTATATAATACGTCATTAGGTGGTTGGTATTGAATTGAATATACCTGATCCGTTGAAGCAATTGTAGGAACCCATTGTATATGTTTGGTGTCAAGAAGATAAACATTATTTGAGAAATTTGTAAGGCTTTTCCCTAAATACATTAACATAACATATTTTAATAAAATTTTCATAATAAATAAAAATATTAATAATGTAATGATTACCAAACGCAATAATCATATAATCATTATATAATGCTGCACAATGATACATGAGTGGTGATGGTGGTCCATATTCTGGAGAAATAACAGTTTGAGCAGACCACGTCCAGACATTTGCATTGAAATTTAACACTGCAACATCAGGTTGCGCATTATTCAATATACTAAGATCTGATGTACCCCCGTATATAATAATACTATTGTCTTTTGCTGATATGAAAATAATAGTATTTATTAGAAATAAATATTTAAATTTGTCTTAATATTGTATATCACATACTTAAGATAGCAGAATGCGCCAGACGAGAACCAATACGATCGCCACTAACCGTCTAAATGGAAACACATGATATTAGGTTTAATTATCAAATACTATAACAAACCCGATATAATAATTACTTGATTTTTCCATGAACTAAATTTTGTGTCATATATCCGAAGCTGTATTTGAAATTAAGTGAGGTAATCTTTAAAAATAAAGATTGAAAAGAAATTAAATTATCGAGTTGTACCTGAGTCATGTCAACCATAGTAATTGTGGATAGTGAAGATTGTGAACGTCCACCAATATAAATTATGGTGCCGTTTAATAGTACTGCAGCATAATAATCATATTTAGGAACATTCTGAATCTGGGATGATGCCAAAATACTGGTGCTGGTGATATCAATTGTGATCAAATCATTATAAAGTTGGGAATTATTATTTGAACCTCCAAACATATAAATCTTCTTATCAATAATAACTGCTTGAATTCCGGTACGAGCTAATAATGAATTAGAGCCTCTAACACTAACACTCTGCGTTGTCCATTTTGAATTAAATTGATAAATTGATGAAGTAGACGCAGGAACCGCTACACCACCAACCAAATAAATAGTTGAATTATCGCTAGTACATGATGAACCAAGATAATATCCGACTGACATATTGGTGGTATTTTTGTGCCATGAAGGGTTAGCTGTATCGAATGAATTGGATAAATCAAGATACCATATTTCGTTACTGTATGCATTCGTATTTCCGCCAGTATTTCCACCAAAGAAATAAAGTTTAGTACCAACTAATATACTAGATGACCCATATCGTGGGTCTGGTATTTTTTGACAAATTACCAAAGAGAATAATAAACTTAAAAAAATACTATGAAAATAATTCATATCTAAATAGGTACATGGTCATAAAATATGAATAATTGTAAAAGAAATTAAAATCGAGCACGATAATTTCTTTTCAGCTATCTTAGCGGAGAAAGCACTTTAATTCCGCAACAAATGAACTAAAAAAATTTTTTTGACACAGTTTACTATATATGGATATTTTCTATCATTATATTGTTCCAAACAATTTCCTGTTTAGGTAGGTAAACTAAAGAAAGTAGTTACGCAAAGATTGTTATGATAAACGTTATTTTTAGAGCTTACTGATTTATGATTTAAACAATATTTGAGTATTCAGATTAGCTAATATTATTAGAACAAGTGCTATTTATTCGAATAACATGTAATTTTTAAATATATAAGATACGAAGCAGCTAAAAATATATATTTATATATAAGTAAATCGCATTTCTGACATATATCACTAGTTAGTTTTAGACAAATTTAAACAATTTACATATTTGCAATTTTTATCTGTGATTTTCTCTTTGGTATATATAAACGATCGTGGATAACATCGCACAAATCCAACGATTAGGCTTAATTTAGAAAATTTATAATACAGAGTTTATTCTATTTTTATCAATTACGTATTTCTATTTTTTAGTTTGCATCACAAGCCAGATCAGTTGTGGTAAGGATCTGATTATCTCGTGATCAATAGCTGGCTTGAATCACTACATGGTGATACTCGGAAAACAAAAAATGTAGTTAAGCTAAAAAACTTTGTTTATATTTGGATTAAAAAGATGGTTTACTGATCAATATTGCGAGATAAATTGAATTTCTTTACGTTGCACCTGATCCTGATTTTTAATTGGCTGATTGTAATGTGATAGTAAAACGGATCCTACACCCTGCAAACCATTCATTTTTGATACTTCTGCACCTACTTTTTGATACATCTAAACATAACATAAATTTTCTATACTTTTTACTAATTTTTATTATAATCACGTGCGATCTTATTGGTTAAATTTAGGGTATGATTAGATGTATCAAAAAAGTAGGCACAGGAGTATCAAAAATGTAGTAAAAGGAGTATCAAAAATGAATGTTTTGCGTCGTTGTTAGAGTAAAGTACTGTTAACCTTTGTAATTTTACTTTCATGTGACAAATAGCTATTAGTCAAAAATACCAAGAATGCTTAAAATAATGGCTAATCTTAATATCTACTATATTAATTCTTTTAGTTTAGTTGCCTTTATTAATTCAACTATTGATTTCCAATTTAGTGTGTTAGGGTGAATAGAATTAAACTATTTCTAACAAAATTAGGTTGAGTTTAAAAAACACCTATTTCTCTAAAAGTCCCGGTGTTACCAATAATCAAGGATACAGTCACATTATTCCTGACCTTCTGCTTATCTGGAAAATTGGGTTCGAAAATTTTCAAAGTTTATTTTTCATGCTCTTACTAATCCTTTATTATTATTATTATTTTGTTTACTACAGAATCGTTACGAAATAACTATCATGTCGTTATTTCGAGACACAATTTCCAGAGCTAAGAATTAATTTTAACTATTTTAAAAAAAATAATTTATCGTTTGTATTTGTCAAAATTAATTATTAGCTCTCTGAAAAGTGTGTAAAAGTGTGTACTTCAAAATAACGCCCAGGCGCTTAATTTCACATCAATATAGAAAATAAAAGTATTCATAATTGTTATTTAAGAGACAAATCTATATTGTTGGTCCAGAATAAATCGTTAAACATAAATTTAGTTACTGAATAATAATCGCGAAAAGATTTAAAATGGATTGTTAAATTTACATTATGATGTACGAATGGCATCGAATTATCAAATATACAAAATCTACACTTTTCAAACCCAACCAATAAAAATCAAATTTCATGTTTGTTATATTCAGTATGCATTATAAAAAAGTTAATTATAGCAAGCTTTGCAATAATTGGATTTATAAACGAATCTGCATTCATAAACTAAATTAGCACAAATAAATAATTCAATAGAAGATATAAAATATTGTAGTTCTAAAATTTCACGCTCGTCATGTCCAGGAATCATTATAAAGTAGTAAGCTTCGATTTTAATTGAATTTGTGCATTCATGTACTTAATTAGCAATTCAATAGAAGCTATAAAAGACTGTAGAGTTTTAAATATACTTTTGCTATAGTGAACTCTTGATATAATAGACGAATTTTGTAAAGTATATTTAATATTCACTCAATATAAGTTAGAAAGAGGGTTTTTCCAAGCCTGAGGACTTCACTATAATGTGAGTTGTAGCCATTTGTTTTTCATGTTTTCTTGTGTTTTCTACATATGAGACTACCAATATTTTGTGACGAAATATGAGTTAAAAATGAATAGAAATGAAATAAAATAGGAACAGTTCTTATAGTAAAGTTTTTTATAAAAATTGATATTATTTTTTTCTGCAATCGTTAGAAAAGTGTTAATTCATTTATTCCTGAAGAAAGAGCAGAACATGATGCAATTCTTATTAATAAAAAACTATATTTTCATGGTGGATGGCTTTACAATGGGATCATTAAACGCTTCTCTAATAATATATTATTCTATCTTGATATTTCAATACCTTTTACCATATCTGATGAATCTTTAATGCCCTGGACAGATCTTTCTTCAATTGTAGGTGCAATAAACCGAACCAGTTCATCAGCTTGCATTGATAAGACCTCTATTTTTTTTATTGGCGGGGACTATCCTGTAAATAATCCTTCTATTACCAAATTTGATACTGCAATACAGCAATGGAGTATACCTAGTATTTCAGGACCAATACCTTCTTTAAAATATGTTCCTTGTGTTAGCTTAGAAAATAAAATGTATATTTATGGTGGGAATACATCTCTAAGTGTCATGAATAAATTAGATACTTTAAGTTTATTATGGTCCATATTACCATATTCAATATCGTCTAGCAAAACTCAAGGTTATAAACTCAAGGTTATAGTGCTACGTTATTAAATGATTCAATTTTATATATTGGAGGCACTAATCAACTCGCATTCAATGGTTGGAATTGTCCAAACAAAACATCTAATTTAATGAAAGAGGTAAGTTTAAAATGCATATTTATTATTAACTAAATACAATTTTAAACGCATAATCCTGTTAAAAATATATAGTTACCCCTATACAATATAACTAACAACACTTGGAGCAATATTGTAGGTCATATTTTGGTTTATATGTGTTTATTTGATATTTATTTACAGTAATATAACTTGTAGGAAACATCTGGTCAAATTCCTTTGGAACGATGTGGTCATTCATCAGTTTTAATTTGTATGTATTAGTTTAAATTATATCAAATTGTTAAAATTGACTTCTATGTCAACGACTCAATTTTAACCATATTATACGACTCAATTTTAACCATATTATAATATAGCTCAGCACAATCGGATTTTATTGTTTTATAGTCAACAGGATATTTCTGAAGTTTCACCTATTGACTTGATACTTCGTCATTTACTTGGTTGGTCACTAATATTTCAAATACTGGTGGCCCTCAACAGATTTTGAGATGGCATAGTTCCACATTGATCGGCGCCTATGTTCTTATTGCTTTTGGTATGTATAATACATATAGTATAATATTATGTAAAGATATTTAGTCAATATTAATGAATCGGTTTTTAAATTGGTTAATGTCGGTTTAGTATTAACCGCTAGTTTATAAAAATACATTACTTTATTTTAATCTAGGATATTTGTATCAAACTGTTGATCGTATTACCTCCTCTCCTCCTCTGATATTTTTCTTATTGATGTAAGTCGCGTCGATAATTACAGATTGGTTACATCATATGAACCCAATAAAACCCTTAAACCCCATACCACCTACATTATTTACTCAACCAACTACACCAGTAGCGCCAAATAATATAAACATTGGCACAATTACTGGAACCATAATTGGAATTATAGGACTTATTATTATTAGCAATAATTGCTATTATCATGTTTAAATATAGGTATACTTTGCTTATGAACCCGTCAAAGGATAGAGTTACAGACACAGACCACCAACCTATTTAATTCTTTATTGTCCGAAGAACATTACGGTAGAGACATAAAGCATCCCATGTCCCTGCATTCGCTGTTTATACAGCAGATTACTTATTGTTTATTTGGTATTACAATAATCCGCTCCAACAAATTCAAGTGCAATTTATATGTGATATTAGATCTCATTGTACAAATAATATGTACGTCTTATTTTGAATGAAATTCTCATTGTACGAATAATATGTACTTCTTATTTTGAATGAAATTTTTACTTTGCATTTCACCAATCGTTCTGTATGTACATTATATGTTTTCTATTTTCTTATAATTTGAAATATAAAAAAGTATGCAGAGAAATTGTTACAGTAATTTCAAAAATATGTATGATTGACAAAACTTATTTGACTTTTAAAGTTTGACCCTTTTTGAACCGTCGACGTTACACGACTAGTAATGTGCCGCGTACAGTACAGTACTCAAAAAAAATTTTAGAATATTCTAGAACAAATCATTAAAGTATCCCTATCTCAAAATTTTGATTATGAAACTGTCTTTCGCATTCTAACAAAAATTATTCCTTGCACAATGTTGCATATAATTGATTTATAAATGGTACATCTATTATGTGTATTACGTATGCTATACACACTATACAACTATACGTACTGTACGTACTGTACGCGAAAAAAAATCAGATATCATATAAATGACACATCTATATACACGACTGATCCTTCACCCGATGTGCAGCATATAAAAAATTTATTTTATAATACCAGATCATTCCACCATTTTTATTATAATAAAATGGTGTGGAATTATAATCATAACATGTACTAGCGGAATGGTATTGTAAAATATTTTTTTTATGTTACACACCGTGTGAAGGATCAGTCGTGTAACATCGACAGTTCTTTGGTTCCTTTTTGATGGTTAAGTAAGGGAAACGTTACTACCGTTCTTTTTCGTGTTAAAATACGGGGTCTTTGCATTTTCGACATTTCTCGATAGGGGTAATTCAGACAGCAAATTGCCACTTTAATAAAACTTTATTATGATGAGATTATGATGAGATAATCTATAAAAATCCACCAATTATTGAAGTTTACTATGTCCCGTTAGTCAACAATTTTTAGCAACTTATTTAGGTCTACCAACTATAAATGCCATAAACAATGAAGCTATAAATGATAAAGAATTTAACTAATATAATACTAAATTAATTGAAGAAATAAAATTTCATTTATATGCGCATTAAACTATCACGGCCTTTAAAATTTTATAAATGAAGCTATCTAAAAGGGTAATTTATAGAAATTAACAATTAACAACAATGCTTTCATACCATACCATTGTAACATAACCTTCTAAATCTTTTTTAAACTCATTTACTATAGATTTATTTACACCCACGTAATTCAAAGATCTTTTTCGCATACAAAATTTGATTAACGCCTTAACTTTCCTCTCATTAATAATTCCGCCACTTATCAGCTTTTTTAGAGGTGCATGGCAATTATTGAGCAAAATATCAATATATGCATCTAAACAAGAACCCCTTACATCAAGGTATTGCAATGTTAATGGCAATATTTCTGCAAATTGTATAATTCGTTCTTCTATTGTGATGTTTTCGGTGCGCGAAAGACACCTTATAATGAGAAATTGAAGTTTTTGTAAATTACCCATAAGTTCTCTGAGTTGTGATGAAAACTCGATATTCAAAATTTCGAGATATGTAATATTTGGACAGAAAGATTTAAGTGTCTCTAGTAATAATGGTTGTTCTAAAATCATTGCTTTAACTGAATCAAGTTTTAGTCGTTGTAGTAATGTGCCAGACTTTTCTAAAATTAATACTATTTTCGAAGCATCAATCGGGCGATCAACTATCTCTAAAGTCGTGATTCTATCTGAAAATGTTAATAGTTTCGGATATTCGCAATACTTGATACGAAGAACTTCTAAATTTTCGCAATTCCTCGACATCTCGAATTCTTCATTACAAATACAATTATTTATTAGAAGTTCCCGTAATGATCGTCCTTGACTCTTTAAAGCCGAAATGATTATGTGAAAATTTTTACAAAGATCACCACAAACAAAGTAGAATTGCATAAGTTGCACTTGTGAGTTAATAATAGATACTAGTGCATGATATATTTGTGGATCATAATAAGCATAGTATTCTTCAAAGTTCAAAACACGAAGTTTTGTAGTGTTTTTGGCCAAGATTTTTAATAATAAAATAGCATCATCAGTGCTGAATCTGAAAATCTACTGAGTGATAACTCTTTAAGTCGAGAGAAAAATTGCACATTTTGTCCCAATAAGTAAAAGATCTCTGGCTTGATTCTAGTATAATCAGAAAATTTTATATGTAATTTGTGCAAAGAAACGCCATTCACAATAAGTAATTTAAATAATAAATTAAATATGTGATAAGTCGATGGGTCGCTAAGTGATATCGGATTATCGGGTAGGTATATGATCCATCTTTTAACCGTAATTTCTAGACAAAATAAATCGAGAACCTTAAGAAAGCTTGCATAATTGAATAGCGTTTCTGAAAATTCTTGATTGTATCCACATTCTTTTATAATGAATCTTTCTTCTTCATTAAGAGATGAAAAATATTGACGAACAAACGACGACGGATCATACCATCGATCAATTGAAAATGGATTTTGCCAAAGAATAGGAATTGACATTTTGCACCAATGTCGACTCACAAGTGCGCATGAGTATAAGGAACGCAATTCTTCCACTAAATTAATATGAATATTTTCCATTAATTCGGGCATACTGCCCATGAATATTTTTGATGCCATGAATGTTTTTGTGAAATTACTACGCATGTAACGGTAACAATGTTTATGAATAGGGAATTTTGTGTGAGTGATACAAACCCAAAAAAGGTAATTAATTAAAATAACGGATGAAACTTTCTACCTCTAATCACGACGAGAGATGGGAAAATCGAGGGCGCAGCCTCAATCCATAGAGACTTTTGCTCAATAGGTTTCAAGTTTATACATTTAAAAAATCTACTTCATATGCGTAAATTTGAGCTCTCATTATTTTTAAATAGTGCTCTAAGGTTAGTTTAGACGTCAGATTTCGTTTTTTTTTGCGTTTTTTCCCTTTTTTTCTGCATATCTATTGGATTTACATCATCTGGTTAATAATTCCGGTCAAACTTGCAAATCATTTGGCTAGATATAGAACATATGGGCGGATTTGTTCAATTTCGAGATTATTTTAAGTTGAAAAATGAGATTAAATATAATTTAATCCAATAAGATATAAAATATAGTGTGATTACTGAGATTAAAAGTGATGATTTGATCAGTGATCGTAAAATTACTTATGAATCGCTTATGAGTTGCTTATGGGTTTTTATATCCCATTTATAAGTAGCAACCTAAATTAAATCAATTTTGGATCTTTTGAGCCAAAATGTTCGGATCACTAATATTAAGTGCTTATGAGTTTTTATATGTCGCTTATGAGTAAGTTAGCTAGAATAACCCAAAATCATATCAGTTTCGGATCATTTCAGTTAACTATTTGGATCACTAGTCATAAGTGCTTATGAGTTTTTGTATACCGCTTGAGTAGACTAGCTAGAATAACCCAAAATTGGATCAGTTTCGGATCATTTCAGTTAACTATTTGGATTACTAATCATAAGTGCTTATGAGTTTTTAAGTATTTCTTACAAGTTATTTGTAAATTATAGTTACTAAAAACAATGAACATAATAAAAGTTAAAGATAACTATCCCAAGTTTGATATAATATGCCGTGCCGTATTGGTAACCGTAATTATAGTTATCAATATAATATTTTAAAACTAAGATATTATCCAGCAGTAAATATACAACAAACACAACGAAGTAAACATTGAATTCCTAATAAATATAAAGTTCAAGTCTTGATATATAAATAAGATGTTATATGTCAAACAAATTATCAACTTGACAGAAAAGTTAAATTTAAAGTAACTTGGCAAGATAAAACTGGAAAAAAATATAAAGTAACTAGTACAAAATCCTCTAGCGATGCTGCAAAACAATTCATACAGGTAAAAAAAATTAATTTAATAATAATAATTATTATTATAATAACAGTAAATTTTTTTAATAGGAATTGATGCAAAATAAAAAGATTAATTTATCAGGAGTAATTTATTTGGTTTGGATTTAGAATGTCTTGAATCATATTGAACAATTGAACATCATAAAAGGAATTTTAAATATCTCAAATCTGTTGCACAAAAAAATTCTCATTTAAAAGAATTTGCTTCTGATATTTATACTTATTTCAAAGATTTGTTTGAAAAGTATAATTTTACTGATGCAAACTTGAATTGTCTAGAGTTGAATGTTTTTAATGAACAAGTCAAAGTCAAGTTTACTGAATCAAATAATGAATTGGCATCTTTAACTCATCTTGATTCTTATATTTATGCATGTAACAGAGGATTAATCTCACAAGACAGTTATAGATATTTAGCAGCTATTCAATCATCATTAGAATGTGAGCATATTATATCTGCACGACGAAAGAAAATTAATAAAATTATGCAAGAAAAAATTCCAATTAAGAGTTTTAATATTAATTCTATATCTGAATTTTCTTTTATTATTGAAGAAAATGAAGACATATATATTAATAAAACTCAAATAGGAAATGGTGCAATATGATCTTTAACTGCATTATTAATTACATTAATTCCTGATCTAACAGTAGAGGATAATTCAGTTTTATCTAGAGGAGATATAATTAAAATTATACTTAGTGGAAATGGATGGCAAGTAGACCAATATCATAATCATATAATGCTAACTGCATGTATTTTAAATAAAAAAAATAAAGTACTTAGTTCAAATAATCAATATTGGTAAGTATTATATAATTTATATTATATTCTATAATTTTTTTAATTTAATTTATTAAAATTTAAAAAAAATTATTAATAGCATTTGTCTTTATCCAGGAACTAAAAAATACAAATTATTATCAATTGCATATCAACAAATTATTGATGAGCTAATTGTTTTATATCAAGAAGGTTTTACAGATAGTAATAATATTAATTGGAAAATTGAATTTTGGTTTACAGCTGATTGGAAATACATGTCATTGGTTTTAGGAATAAATGGGTCAACTTCAAATTATTTCTGTTTATGATATGATTATTATAAAAATAATCAGTGGAATATAAATCAAACTTGGCAAAATACAGAAAATTCTAAAGATATTATATTTATATCGATATTACATAGCAATAGTATTCAAATTCAGATAATTTGTTTATCTAAAAATAATTATCTGTTGAATAAATATATTATCTGATATCTATATCTATTTACAATTCTATTATTCAGATAATTTACTCAAATCATCTGTATTAAAGTATATTCGGGTCTATATCAGATAGTGATTATATATTCTATTATCTGGATAATCCAAATAAAAAATTCAATACTAATATTACAATTAAATATATACTATATAGAATATAATTAATTAAAAATATATAATGATAATAATAATAATTAAACTATTAGTTTATTAAGTTATTTTTAATTTAGGTTAAATTCATATAAGTCTATTGCTATTTTTTATTCCTATACATTTTATACCTGATAATTTGCATTTAATGCTTTGAATTGTTGAGGTATTACTTGAATGTTTTTTTTTGAACTAATACATAATCCAATTGCTTTTGATACAAAAACAACAAATTCTAATTCTATTCGAGAAAAAGTAGAATATACAATGTGGACTATTGGTGTTACTAGTTTTAGATTTCTCTTACCAGAAAAAAAGACTAAAACTGCAAAGTGGAGTTGGTGTATATTAATGAGGCCAGCTAAGTTACTAATTATTAAAAAATTTTCTGTTTCAAATTTTATTATTAGAAATCAGAGTAAAGATATTGAAAGCTTGTAGAAAAAATTTTATTCATTATATTGTATAATACTGAGTAACAGTTTAATAGAAGATAATATTAATCAGTTTGCACAAGATGCTTGGAAATAGGTTTAAGAATTTACTAGACCAACTATAAAAACATTAAATAGTCAAATTAAACAAGAAGAATTATATCAACATACTGATATAACTTTCTATATGCATGTTTTGGCATGTCATGTATCATTATTTATGCGAGATCTTTATTAGCAAAATTCTTATTTATGATGATTTACTACATCAAGTATTAAAAAAAAAACTATGAACATGTAAGTATTATTATTATAAATTAAAATTACTAGCTAAAATTAATTAATTTATTCTATTAGATACAGTTGTTTTTTGGTGAAACTACTATGAGAGGAGGAGCTAGTAAAGAAAAAGAATCTGCTATATATCAAATTAGTAATTTTGAAAATTGATAAATATATTATAGAATAAATAAAATACCTACTAAATATACAAAAAAATTATTAAAAATATAAATCAAAATTATATAATTAAATATTTTTTAGCTTACTATTTGCTACATTGCAATAAATTTATTTAATTAATTTACTGTATTATTTTACAAATAATTAATTTGTTATTTCAACTGTTTCACAGTGTATTTCCAAAATACATTTCAATATACTATGAGATATATAATGCACTTTATTATCTTCTTGTTTTGTAATTGATTTTTCTTGCCAAATAAATTTGATGTTTTTTTAACAAGATTACTATTATTGTCTTTGTCTTCAATTAATACAAAGATTTTATATCCATTTTTATTTTTACTTTTTTCCAAGATTTGCTTCTCAGTATAGTTCCTATTTGGTCATATTTATTTTGTCTTTTGAAAATACAAAAATATTTTTGTAAAGATGGCTGATATAAAAACCTAAGTTCATTTAAAAAAAAAATATTAAATAAACTTTCTGGAAAATTCCATTGAATATGTTTTAGCCCCTCATTTATTTGATGAAAGCCTAATTTACTATTAATATCTTGAAGAAGCACTGTGTGAAAATAATTAACAATTCTTTTAGATATTTTAGGTAAATGTTGGTAGTATGTAACAACATGGTTCATATTATGTTTGGTATTTTCATAACTGCTTAATGAAGATTTCATCAAGTATGAATTATTACAAAGGTGGCAAGAAAAAGGTTTGATAGATGTTATTATATTAGCATGTATAAAATTATTCTAATTTAAATATTATATGACTATTACTTTGTTATCACCTAATTTCAATAATCACAGCATTCCAACTAAAAATTTCCACTCATATAACAAAACAACTTTAAATGTAGCCAAATGATCTGCAAATTTGATCAGAATTATGAATGATGGATTCTCATATGGGCTAATTAAACATGAATTGCACATCAGTTTTTTAAATCAGGCTAATCAATTTGCTTTCTATAAACAAAATATATATAGTGTGATTGCCTATTTTGAAAATTGCAGCTTGATTATGGCTTGATCATAGCTTGATCTAAAAAGAAAAAAACCTAGTTTTTTCTAAATTATTACATTTTGTTTAATCATGAATTATAATAAATAATGATGATAGTAATACAAATACCACAGATACTAATATTAGCAAATTTGTAGTTTTTAATCTCTTACATCTTAAAATTACTTATCTCAAACACAAAAATTGAAATCTTTATCTAATAGATCAGATAATCAAATCAAAAAATTACAAAATTTGGTTAAAGATAGCTATCCATATATCTATGTTACAAGAACAGTAAGTTAATGAAAAACTAACTATGCTTATAGGATTATTTTACTTGGTTTTTATCCTTTAAATGCTACCAAAACTTGGCAAATTTAATTAATAAGACAGTTTATCATGTATCAAATGATTATTTATTTATAGTAATAATCTATAAAACTCAAATTAAATATAAAACTCAATACTAAAATAACTTAGTAAAATATTTAATAAATTGGATTGATTATAATAGTGAAACATAGCAATGTATTACAAGTTATAGTTCTGTGACCAATATAAGCAACAAGTTTTTATAAGTAATTATATTAATTATCATTATATTTTAATGTATCTGGTAGTAATATGTATACCAACATTAAATTTTTTATAGAAATTAGGAAAATTCAATATAAGTTCTATCTTAGAAATAAAATTATTTACTTTTGATTTGGAATCTTTAAAAAAATAACATAATTCTCAAAGTATAGATCAACAACAACCTCTAAAAAAACAATGTAATTCTTAACAAAAACTATTAGAAGAACTGTCTTCATTATAAATAAATCATCGATTTAGGTTACTTGCCAATAATATTAAAGATAATGTATAATCATTATTTTTAAAACATAATACAACATCTTTGAAAATAGAAAAAGTTAATCCTCAATATAATAATAATATAATTAAGCTTAATTTTCAATTATTAGTTGATAATTTTATTACAAATAAACATCTTGATTTTATTATTTATGCTTGTAATGATACATTAGTTTCAAGAGATAGTCTATGATGATTGGCAGCAGTAATATCTAAAATAGATCACCAATATTTAATAAGCAAATGGCAAACAGAAATTAATAATTTTATAAGCAACAAAGTTCTAATCAATTTATTTATGATAAATAATATTAAAAATAGTATTTATTAAACAATTAGTTCTATTCTAAATATTTTGATATTCTATTTAGTAAATTCAGAACTACCAGTATTAGTTTACAACAATACAATTAAAATTAAGCTCAGTGATAATGGTCATCAAGTAGAACATCAACAAAATTATATATTGCTTACAATATGTATTCTAAATAAAAAAAAAGCAGTATTGTTTCTGAAGAATCAACATAGGTATATACTATATTAATTTATTAAATTTGCAATATTTATATATAGCAATTATAACAATACTAATATAAAACTAATTATAGTATTTGTTTTTATATTAAAATAGGAAAACATAAACTACTGGAAATAATTTTTGGGTTATTTATTAAAGAGTTAAAATATTTATCACAAAATAGATTTTATAATTTAAACAACAATATGTGGTCTATAGAATTTTGGTTCTTAAGTGACTGAAAGTTCACTGCTTTAGTTATAGATATTAATGCTGCAACTTTTAACTTTTTTTGTCTTTATTGCAACTGTGAACAGAATATATATTGGAATATGAGTCAGACTTAAATAAATTCAGTTAATACAGAAGGTATGATTTATAAATAAAAATAATAAGTTTACTATATTACTTATTACTGCATATATTGTCTTTTCAAAATAATACTCTCTTTAATTAAAATCTGACTTAATTCTTGAAAAATAACCTAATTGTATGTGTATAAGCAGAAACAAGTTTTTGCTAATACCTAATGAATCAGGATATTTTTATTACTAATATCTAGAATATAACTATTTAGCTTATTACTTTTCATATTATATAACACTGAATATAGTATTCAGTTCTTCACACAATACCTATGTATTTTTTAATTTAAAAAGTAAAATTCTTAATTAAAACTCCAAGTGCTATATGCAGTAGCAAATGGCAAATAAGTAGTCCAACTTTATTGTTTACTTATTTTAATTATTTTGGTTATAGGATATAAATATTCTAACCTATTACCTTGTGTTTCATTAAAAAATTTTATTTTAGATGAATTATATTTATTGTTACAAATTGCTAATATTTTATTGGAATGTTATTTTTATGAGCTTATGAAAAATCCATATTTTAATCATCTGCCA